GACTTTCTAAGTGATGAAAACTACTGAAGTTGAGTGACTCATCACATCCGTTCCCCTGTTATTCTTTCGATTCCATATTCTCACACATAATCAAATTGGCAAAGTCAGCACTTATTCTGGAGAAAACGAATCTTCGCACATAAATTACCACTTCATAATTTTTACATTACAATCAATCAACCTCCTACCTGGTAACAAGACAGCTGTTGGTACCTAAAAACCCTAATTATTCTAGACGAGTGCATAAGATAGAAGAATTCATAAATATCCACCAAACAGACTGCATTCAGTACAGTTAAGTGGCTAATCTACCGCCCGTTGGACAGTACCAATTTATTTGGAACCGTACTGAAACAAAAAGGAGCTAATGCAAAGTAGTAAATTGATTTATGCAAGTCAGCGACGGAATTATCAGACACTGGAGTGTTCTGAGAATACGCAAATATACTTTTCATGTGTGGTTTATTATTATTTAATAATTTATATTTTGTATTTATAATTCGTTAGTCCTGAAACTAAACCGTATATTAAATGTTGAGTATAAATGTTTTAATGTATAAAGAAATTAGTGAATGTCGCGCAAACAATCAATTAAGTATGTTGATTTTTAGGTTTTTTCTAATCTGTGTTACTTCCACATTGTATACGATCTACTTTCCGTCTTTGATTTTAACGTTGTGATCATTCCAATCGAATCTGCTTACACTAAGGGTTAGAGCATGTATTCTTGATACATACGATGATAAAGTGATCGCTTATTGACGGGCCCATCATAGATGATAATGGAGGTAAAATTTTTGGTAATATTTACTTACCATAAATACTTAAATTTGATTAATGGTATTTACTAATTCATACATACATTTCAGGCACTATCTATAAATGTGTGAAAAGTGGCATGAATTTTACTGAATTTGTAGCCCAATCTCCCAATTTTGGGTAAGCCGCTATAGTAAACTTTTGGGGGACTTTCGGGGAAATGGCACAAAAACCCCAAATACTATAGTATTTAAAATGATTCGTCTATTTTCTAATGTACAATTATGGCCTTTCTTTCTATTTAAATATTTACCTCATCCACTGTTGTCTTAACTTTTCACTTATTTATAGCTGCTCCAGCCATTTGCAAACACTAAATCAGTCAACCATTTCCATGAGCTGATGCATACATTTCTTTGGTCTTTTCCTTAAAAATTTGTTGACAAACACTGATAGGGTGATAGGGAGTCTGCTATGAATCTTCGGGTGGCCTATAAAGAAACGTTATTTTTGTTAAAATGCATGAGAATTTTATGAACTTAAGTTCATCGAATATTACGTAATATTCGATATTCGCTTGTACAAGCGAATATCTGGGTATGACCGCCTTGAAATTTTAGAGCTATGCATGTTCTTCATAATAGTTGACGTTTATTCATCTTTCCAGATATGGTTTATCTATATGAATTATTAATGAGACTACAATTTATGGACGAATTTTCATTAATACTAAAGCGACATTGAAAATTTTTACTTACTTGTAAGAGTTACATAGCGTTTTTTAGCGAGTTATTTTTCTACGGAATGGGGTCGCTAACCTCATGCCCAACCCTCCTCCTTTACCCGGGCTTGGAACCGGCAGTAACTCTGGAAGAGCTACAGGCTAAGTACATAGGAGCAAACAAGCAAGTGAAGAAGAGCATTAGAGCCACAAACAGAAATACATGGAAGAACTCGCAACGACGGCGGAAAAAGCTGCAAGAGAAGGAAATATGAAACAGCTTTATGATACAACGAAGAAACTAGCAGGGAAATATAGTAAACCAGAGAGACCGGTCAAAGACAAAGAAGGCAGGCCAATCACTGAAATCCAATAACAGCAGAACAGATGGACAGAGTACTTCGAGGAACTCCTGAATAGGCCGGTTCCATTGAATCCACCGGACATCGAAGCAGCACACACAGATCTTCCTATAGATGTCAATCCACCAACGACGGAAGAAATCAGAATGACCATCAGACAAATCAAGAGTGGGAAAGCAGCAGGACCCGACAATATACCAGCCGAAGCACTGAAGTCAGACATCGAAGTAACTACAAACAAGTTTCATCTTCTATTCAAGAAGCTTTGGGAGGAGGAAGAAGTGTGAATGGACTGGAAAGAAGGACACCTCATCAAGATTCCAAAGAAAGGAGATATGAGAAGGTGTGAAAATTACAGAGGCATTACACTACTGTCAGTACCAGGGAAAGTCTTTAACAGAGTGTTGCTGAACGGGATGAAAGACGCAGAAGACGCTCAACTTCGAGATCAACAAGCTGGATTCCGTAAGGGTCGGTCTTGCACAGACCAAATTGCGACACTATGGATCATCGTCGAACAATCAATTGATTGGAACGCGTCACTGTACATCAACTTCATTGATTATGAGAAGGCATTTGACAGTGTAAATAGGAGAACGTTATGGAAACTTCTTCGACACTACGGAGTTCCTGAGAAGATTGTCAACATTATCCGGAACTCATACGACGGACTACAGTGCAAAGTCGTGCATGGAGGACAGCTGACAGATGCATTCCAAGTAAGGACCGGAGTCAGAAAAGGCTATTTATTCTCCCCCTTCCTCTTTCTTCTGGTGGTCGATTGGATTATGAAGACCTCAACATCTGAGGGAAAACACGGCATACAATGGACAGCTCAGAACCAATTGGGCGATTTGGACTTCACAGATGACCTAGCCCTCCTATCGCATACTTACGAACAAATGCAGATAAAGACAGCCAGTGTAGCAGCAGTCTCTGTATCAGTAGGCCTCAACATACACAGGAGGAAAACCAAGGTCCTCAAATACAACACGGAGAACAGCAATCCAATCACTCTTGATGACGAGACTCTGGAAGATGTAGAATCCTTCACATATCTGGGAAGCATCGTCGATAAACAAGTAGGTTCAGATGCAGACATAAAGGCACGGATTGGCAAAGCAAGGGCCGCATTCCTTCAATTGAGAAACCTATGGAACTCAAAACAACTTTCAGCCAATATCAAAGTCAGAATCTTTAATGCTAACGTCAAGACAGTCAGTTCTACTGTACGGAGCTGAAACGTAGAGAACTACGACAACCACAATCAAGAAGGTAAAAATGGTTATAAATATCTGTCTACGCAAGATACTCAACATCTATCGGCCGGACACCATCAGCAACAGCCTTCTGTGGGAGAGAACAAACCAGCTTCCAGATGAAGAGAAAATTAGGAAAAGACGATGGAAATGGATAGGACGTACATTACGCAAATCATCAAACTGCATCACAAGACAAGCCCTAAGTTGGAATCTTGAAGAGAAGCGGAAAAGAGGAAGGTTAAAGAACGCAATTCTTCGGGAAATAGAATCAGATATGAATAGGATGAATAACAACAGGAAAGAGCTGGAAAGGATTGTTCATGATAGGGTTGGATGAAGAATGGTGGTGAGCGGCCTATGCTCCTTCGCGAGGAGTAACAGGCGTAAGTAAGTAAGAGTTATATAAGGTTTGTAAATTAGTGTAGGGAAATAGCATAAGGAATCATCGTTGGATGTAAAGGTTAGGAACTAGAGTCACGGTATTCATCACGAAGCGACATTAGGTGTAATGCCAAAATATTATCTGCCATGTGAGCGGACGAATTTCGCACTGTAATCCCCCAATCTTAGATCTGATTGGCTCGTCTGTACATTATAATCTCGCCGAATTGTTTACTTATTCACTATTTCAAGAATTAAGTTCGAGTTCTCTATTTCTTGTTGAAAAACGCGTATGTCACTGCTATTTCGTTTTTGGCCTTCAAGGCCATTTTCTAAATTAATCAACCCATTCTGACATGGATGAAAAAAATCAAAGGATATATCTGATCCAAAATTAATTTGACTGTCAGTGTTGGATGGTTTCTCATTTTGTGGTGAAACAGAGTAGAAAGACATAAATTCTTAAGACAGTGTATATGGTAATTAACAAAACTCAAAAATTGAACATTTAGCTGTCCTCTGTGCTTCATCAAGACATCTGAGTCATTTGCTGAACAAGAACTTGCCGTTTGAATGTATATTTTGCTTTAAAATCTCACCAGGGCTGCGTTTCTTATGATGAACACCCTTCTATCCAACTTGGTAAACGACCGTCTTAAACCACATAGAAGTCAGAGGTCTTTAACCAGAACCACACGACAGTAAATCTTGGTCTAAACGTTGTGACTCACTTTTACACCTAGATTCCCGTGAGAGAGGTAATAAGATTTATTGCGTTCCTTTATTTACTATATTCTAACCCCGTGTTTTTGTTTCAAGACTGGGCCGTATGGGTTCGCAGTACTACCTTGCAAATCCATTTTAATCAAAATAGTTGTGCTGAGCGAGATCTAGGACAGACATCACAAAATAAATAAGAGTACGCTTAAGATCATCAGTGCAAGAAGCTACTCAAACTAAGTCACTGGAAAAGCTCACTCTAAACCTAAAAATGACAATGGTAATGATAATAGCACATATGCCTTATTTTGGTCAGTCCGCTATATTGTGTGACCATCATTTATTACTTGCGGGCAATAGATGCGCTCTATTAAAGAGTCCCGCACTAGGGCGATACATTCGTTCGGTGCTTTCTGGTTTTAGATGTCAATCTAACTAAGGTTAATCCGTGATGTACACTATGAAAATTTAATAATCTCTGTCAAATCGCTATACTAATCTCGTGTTCATATGCAATAAATTACTTCCACGTCCATTTGTAAAATATGTGATTTGACTATTTTTGGATGAAAACTTTCACATGTTTTTGGAGAAAATCTCTTAGTCACGCAAAACAACCGACTAAACAGTTATCTAAAATATAAAGAAAGCCTTCAGGTGACTTTTATAATGAATAACAGTCAAACAGCTAATTAAAACTAGTAGATTGTAAATTTACTTACAATAATACTTTATAGAAAACGACATTCACTTCACTGCTGTTAATAATTTTTGTTTGGCAATTTAGAAGTTATCATGAACGATCTGAATAACGTTGAGTACTTGTCAAGAATTCTAGATAAATGGTCTGCTTCTTCTGGACATCTACGTCCGCCAAAAAGTGACAGGAGTAACACTCTACAAGAAATTTATTATCCTGTCACTTTGGGTGGTATGACAAAAGTAAGTATACTAATGTTTAATTACACGTCACTTAAAAAAAGTTTCAATTATTATTTATACCTAGATATTCTGGAAGTTTGCGTCTCAGTGGACGTAGGAAAGACGCTTCGAAGAAACCTCTTATGGTTCTACTTAATGATATTCAAGATAAGAATATATTTTAGGAAAAACTAGAAAAACAGTTGAGCAACCACGCAAGCGTGGAATGATATCCGAAAAGCTGTGCAAACAGCAGTGATATCTACTAGTATGGTAAACCATGAGGTTAAAGAGAAACACTGGATCTCAGCAGCCTCCATCGCACTGATAGATGCTCAAAAACTCATCTCATCTGGCTCTGAACGTGACGAAGAGCAGAGTCAGTTTAAGTACAGGCTGATAAGAAGCCAACGTAATGATCGCGAACAGTGGTGGGTAGCGAAAGCAAGAGAGATGGAAAAGGCAGCGGCAATAGGTAACAGCAGGCAACTGTTCAGACTTGTTAAGGAAACCAGTATTACGAACCCAACTGTTCGCAAAACTACCTCGGAAAAAGATGGACATACTATTCATTCTCAATCCAGGAGATTAGATCCATGGGCAGAACACTATAGGGATCAGTTCAACTGGCCTTCAGCCACACTTCGGTTTCCCACGATCTCCAGTCGACCCGAGTGGCAAGTTGATGTAAGTTCTCCAACTGTTTACGAGGTTGAAAAAGCTATAGGAAATCTGAAGCGTGGGAGAGTAAAAGGCCTTGACAGGTTGATCCCTGAAATTTTCAAGGATGGTGGTCCAGTATAAGCAGTGAGATTGACGGAGGTATTATATGGAATCTGAGAAATGGAAGTAATCCCATCTGACTGGTCTCAATCACTGATTGTGCCGGTCTATAAGAAAGGATAAAAGTCTTCTTGTGACAGAGAGATCAGTTTGACCATTATAGTGTCTAAAATATTAGCTTCAATAATACTTCGACGCCTAACCAAAGCTCGTGAAGAGCAGACTAGAGAAAACCAGTCTAGTTTCCCACCTGGACGTGGTTGTATAGACCGGATATTCACACTACATCAGGTCCTAGAACATAGACACACATTCAGACGCCCCACAATGGTAGTATTTCTCGACCTTAAGGCGGCATTTGATTCTGTTGATCGTGAGGTTCTATGGCAGTGTTTGTCACTGAAAGAAGTACATCAACCTTATAAAGGCTCTCTACTCGAACACAACTGGTCGAGTAAGAGCTTATGGTGAACTGTCATCAGAACTGATTAACTCAAGTGGTGTTCGTCAGGGCTGTCAACTCTCTCCATTCTTGTTTAACATTGTCGTTGACGTCCTTTTAGAGATGACACTTTCCTCATCTAAATTTCCAGGAGTTGAACTTCTACCGGGAGATTCACTTGTTGACTTAGAATATGCCGATGACATAGTTCTATTTAGTGAAGACGCTGACAAAATGCAGAGTCTGCTGACCACTCTAAGCAACAATGCAGACATGTTCGGCATGCGATTCTCTCCCTCGGAATGTAAAATGTTGCTTCAGGATTGGGTTGCGTCGACACCCGAACTAGTGATAGGGAGTGAAGTAGTTGAGCGTGTCGACCGCTTCACTTATCTCGGAAGTCTCATCAGCCCTTATGGTCTGGTGTGTGACGAAATCTCAGCACGGATACAGAAAGCTCGACTAGCTTTTGCCAACTTGCGTCATTTGTGGCGTAGGCGAGATATCCGTCTATCAACCAAAGGACGCGTTTACTGCGCAGCAGTTCGTTCCGTCCTACTTTATGGCAGTGAAACATGGCCAGTAAGAGTAGAGGATATTCGTAGGTTACTAGTATTTGACCATAGGTGTATTCGAAACATCGCTCGTATATCCTGGGACCACAGAGTAAGTAATGCAGTTGTTATGAAACGGGTACTAGGTAAGGATGGCAAATCAATTGAGGAAGTAGTGAAACTTCATCAGTTGAGATGGCTGGGACATGTGCTGCGCATGCCCGACCACCGACTGCCCCGACGTGCTATGTTTTATGGTGTAGGAGTAGGTTGGAAGAAAGCTAGGGGCGGCCAGACCAAAACATAGCACAAACCCATGAAGTCACTGACAAGCCGACTGAGCCATATTTGTTGGTGACCGCGAGACGATAGCAACCGATGTTTAGAGACCTTGAATGACATGGCTCAAAATGGTTTGCAATGGCGCAGGTGCATCCACTCTTTGTGTTTTCCCAAATCCTAATCTTCTGAATTCTTCATGTCCCTTTCATTTTTCTCTTTCCAAATTTATTTCACTGGATTATACCCCTTGAATAACATCTTCAAACCCTGATCTTTCCTATGACTGCGTATACTTTTACTATCCCTACCACCATGTGATTTAACCGACAATTGTACCTCTGTGCTAATGTGGTATGGAAACCCGAACTGATGTACGTACGTACAAATTTCTACGCTGTTACTGACTGAGACATCTTGGAATAATGCTTGAAAGACAAATGTAACGGTTGAATCGTGATCATCTTCAGTATTATTTGATATTTTATGAGTATATCATTTTTAGCTGTTAATTGTTCAAAACATACATAACGTTCTAAGGTTTGACTTCATATGAGTTCAGAAGCCATAATACAAGAATTTTTTAAAGTTTCTAGTTCTTATTACTCTTTGAAATGATCCGAGTTCATAGGAATTATCCATTTGACATAAGGGCTTTTACATCAAAATTTTGATTGTTTAGTTTTTCTACCAAATATTTCAATATTATTAGATCTACTAATATAATATAATTGTTGATCGCTTTTTAATGTAGTTTCAATATTCACCTAACGTACTTAAACCTTAGAACGTTTTGACTGAATATCTTTTTAAGATATATCAGATCAAAACTAATGATTAATGTAGCTGAACTGCTGAAACAATAAGATGAAGAATATAAATGAGGGTTTGTTAGAATATCATGTGGTTTAGCTGGACGCAAATCAAAACTCACAGGAAGCTTAAAGTTTTATTCAAAACAAACACCAACACTTTAAATTAGCCACTTAGCTTCCTGCTGTCATCAAATAACTAAATTTTTTAATTTATCCGGTATTTCTAGATATCACTAAAGTGTACTGCAAACTTATTTTTTCATTTGACTACGTACACAACTGAGTAATGTTGATCATATTATTGATGTGAAACTTTATATCGAAAGCGGAAGGCATGATATAAAGCCTCGGGGGAAACAGTGACTCCATCAACATCAAAAGCTTCTTTCCAAAATATATTAAAGAGCATGGAAAAAAGTTATAGAACTTATCACTGACTATTATAAAATATTGAAAGTTGAATGACATATAACTCAGTTTACTGTGTTTCAAAACTCAACATATTTTTACAACTAAAAATGGGAGTTTAGCCGGCAAAACATCAAACTCTTTGCACCTTAATTTTTGTAAAGCTTGATAATAAGATAGCTTATTATCAAAGCATTTGAATTTCAACTGCCAGAGTAGTGTGTTAGCATTAACAGTCTTGGCATAATGAAACCTGACTGAAATATGAGCACTAAAGTTTGTATCTGGTCACAGAATTGTACTAAAAAATTAATTATAAATGACAGTTCTAGTAGAAAAATTTTAAATCAATTTCAAGTATTACTTATTTTTATTTTCAAGAATTTTTACCATTGAAGATGATATTTAATAAATCATAGGATAAATTATGGAAAATTGATTAAATGGTTTTTATATTTGAATTATTAGCTTTATCTAAACAGTTACTTTCTCGTTTGTTTTTCTTTTTTTGAATAGATTTAGCATAGACAGATTTTGTTGTTTCCTTTGTATTACTGTTTGTACAAAATATTTGAATAACATTAATTTTGATGATTTATTAAGGTTGTAGTATGAGTTGGGATCCATTTATTTTTTCAATAAACTAGACTTTTTGTACATACATTAACAACAATTATCGAATTCTTAGAACAAATTAGGCTAACTAAGTTCAGATGTGTATTCACAGTGCTATAAGTCAAATATGAAATTATCCTAACTCATCTATAAAATATCCCCATTTCACCAATATATTATTGTAAATGATTTTTAACCTAAATTTAGTGTGTATCAAGCACGGTTAAGTTTTTACAGTTGTTTCTTAAATATTTTGAAGTTCGATATTTGGTAGAGAGAAACATAACGTGACAAAAAAACTTATTATTAAATTTAAATGTTTACTGCACGGATCGAAATTTAGAATAATATAATAATATAATCGGAGAGAAAATCTGAAACTAGGTTTACATGTGGTTTGTACTTTTTAACGAGATATGTATCCAATCTTGGGAGTAACTGGTGGTCCTCATGAGATTCCGGATGACATAGGTAAGTCAGTCGGTTATACTCAACGTCCAACCTCTTCTCATTATTACAGCGAAATGAAGTCGTTAAGGTGAATGCCAGAGGAATAGCTGTAGGATCAGTAATATTAATAGAGACGATTAGTTATAGGAAAATAGGTGTAAGGAGATTTTGAAATTCAGGATTTAAGAGAAGACGAAAAACGAATACATTTGCGCCATTGAAACCGATTCTGAAATAACACAAGTCAATAATTTTGAAACAGTCAAAGACAAATTTCAAACTCATGAATTGGAATTGGAATAAAAATTATCATTCAGACTTTAACAGATCACTTACGCTATAATACATGTACATTTACTTCCTGTTTATGTGTCAACAATTCATTTGTAACTAATTCTCTTATACGTTAAAACTGTCAGACCAAAACATAAAACCACAACACCAGACATAAAATCACAAAATACAAATATATAATTAGCGCCAGGAGGCGCTGATTTTTTAGACTTTTTTCATCTTAGACAACCTCCAAACATGTTGAGTTCTACTAACATATGCATGCTCACTAGCGAATAATTTTGAGAGAAATTTCTAAAGTTCTAGTGAGAAACAGTTATCATTTCAAAAGTAGAATATCACCGGTGGATTTAGAAGATGTTCTCTACATTTCTAATAAACCAGAATTGTGAGTCTCCGAAATTAAAATCAGTGATCTAGAAGCCCCCGAATGGATGTTCAAAACAGAGTCCCTTAAATTTATTAATTTTATCAAGTGGTTTAAATGTTGCCTTCCTTTGTTTTTGGCTTGGACTTTCTATTCCGAGTAAAAATGGGTTAGAAATCTGCGACAACTGCGGTTCCTAATGCTGGATAGGTAGTTATTCAGCTAACAAGGAGTTTATCGAATTTTACAAGTCATGTATCTGAAGGTCTTTAAACACGAAACAACTGCGTGAGACTTTGCAAAGGATGATAGAAATAACCATCCTAAGATTTGGTTTTTTTTAATAAACGTATAAAGATAATACTCGAATTCCCACACAAATTTTACATCAATTCTGTATTGTTTTCAATTATCTGAATGAGGATACTATGAATGTGATGAACATGTTGATCGGCAGACGATTTTATACATTTTCACCACCTGCTTTCGGCAGTATCAAACGACCAGGTGATGATTTTTATCCATGGCAATGTGTACTGGCTGAAGAAGCACCAGTACTGGCAACAACTGTTTATCGTCAAGCCGTTGATAAAGCTGATTTTGAATGTGTAATAGATGAAAGTGGTGAACTGTATCAGCCTAGAAGGACAACTTCAGTTAGGCGTTATCATCCAAAAGATAACCCACCAACAAGTTTAGGATATTTAAAGGCATCAGTCAAACAATTATTAGAAAATCTAAGTAAGTTAAATGCACCATTCAAGTAAGACTACTCGGTAATTATCCAACTAGTAAGAATTTTATACAAAATTATCTCTGTTTATTTAAATCGGGTTTGATATAACGCACTGATGAAATTCGATGTGAAGGGCATCATATTGTATATTGAATGAAGAACGAATCTAAACCGTTGAATTCTAACTCATTAGTTTGTAAGTATGGTCTCATAAAGTGACCTGAATCCCTAGGTTTCGACCCTAAGTGGATGTCATTTGATGACGAGCCATACACTAGGACGAAATGTCCATGTCGTGTATTTTGGTATTCAAAACTTCTCTAACTGATATGACTTTACGACAAAAAATGAGAACTTCATTATTATCAGCATAACATATAAGATCGAACATAAACAGTAGTTTTAAAAAAAATAATGACGAATTCGCAGAATTCTTCCAACAAATCAGAGTGATCTTAACAACAGACTGTCACTTTACACCTTTTATTTAACAACTAAGTGATGAATTCATTAGAAATAGCCGACTGTAGTCCACTTAAACCTATATTTTCACCATTACAAGCAAAGATGGATAGTGGCTAGCAGTGGAATCCAGTTTGACGCGCGTTTCGTCCTATTTGGGACTGGTCAGCTGGATGTACCTGCATCTCAGAGTTGATGTTCACTCTGGGACTCGAACCCAGTACCGTCCGCTTTAAACGCCATCGCGTTATCCACTTAGCTACTGAGTCCTGGTAGCCACTTGCTTGTGCAATGGGGTGAAGTTTAATTCACTTGATATTGTTTTACTTGAATCTTCCCACTGATGTTTAGGATTGTAATTGATCAGTCTGTTATTGGCATATGTGCATACTGTGCGTATTGCCTCGATATTGCCTCAATTTACAAGCATTATAAGCAAAGATGGCTAGTGGCTAGCAGTGGACTCCAGTTTGACGCGCGTTTCGTCCTATTTGGGACTCGTCAGCTGGATGTACCTGCATCTCAGAGTTGATGTTCACTCTGGGACTCGAACATCCAGCTGTCTGAGATGCAGGTACATCCAGCTGACGAGTCCCAAATAGGACGAAACGCGCGTCAAACTGGATTCCACTGCTAGCCACTATCCATCTTTGCTTATAATGCTTGTAAATTGAGGCAATATCGAGGCAATACGCACAGTATGCACATATACCAATAAGAGACTGATCAATTGCAGTCCTAAACATCAATGGGAAGATTCAAGTAAAACAATATCAAGTGAACTATATTTTCACCGTTAAGAGTATTCTTTTCTATAGGTGCCATCCCAACTACCTGAATGCAACTCGTCAAGTGTGGATAATTAGAACTTACGAAAAACCTTGAAATACTTTAACATTTCTAGCTGAAGTTTATGCTGATGACGTTGTTCAGAAGAACAATAAAAGCTCTGCGACTAAAGCACCGAGCTCAAAGAATAAATCCCCACCAAAAGCTGTAAAATATCTCCATAAATTCTATATTCCATTTTTTTCCTTCGCTCTTCCTCTCTCTGGTAATCTATGGATCTCACTAACTAATATTTAAACTCTGTCTTATTACTATCTATTTTGTAGGATTCTGATAAATAATAAATTGTAGTCCAACTTTATGAAATTTCAAGTATCATAGATATCACAGCATTTTTAACATAAATTGGGTACCAATAGACATGGATTTCAAGTATGTATGAATAAGACATCACGTTTGTAACATGAATGAATATTACAATAAGTTGCATTATGTTTTTTCAGAGTGGTCTCCAATCGGTAAATGCACCTATCTTCAGAGTTTATGAATCATCGATTAATTTTATATACATTCATTTGATAACAGGACATTAGAAGTCGGTTAATAAATGTTTTGGGAAGAGATATATTTTCCAAGCAAACATGTTTACCAAACAAACTATCAATAAAGGAAGTGAATGAATACACAGTGAGATGTATGCGGATTCGACTCATCAGTCAAACCAATGTATAAATTCTTGCACAAATTTATATTATAGCTCAAGGATAATATACTCATACAGGTATAAACAGTCACATATATATAAAAATATGATACAATGGGATAAGTTAAGAATTATTCACAAAATAATTACATGGACTGCAAATTTTCTTTGTTGTTAGACAAAAAATAGATATTTCACTGGTTGAAATCATGAATCCATTGAAGCTAGACCACCATGGAAAACCTGGAAGCACTGGACGGCCGTTTCGTCCTAGTATGGGACTCCTCAGCAGTGCGCATCCACGATCCCGCTCCTCGCGAGATTCGAACCCAGGACCTATCAGTCTTGCGCCAGGCGCTTAACCAACTAGACCACTGAGCAGGCATCCAACGGTGTTAATGTCTAACTTCAACCAATCCACGAAGTTGCGCCACCGTACACCATACTAGGACGAAACGGCCGTCCAGTGCTTCCAGGTTTTCCATGGTGGTCTAGCTTCAATGGATTCATGATTTCAACCAGTGAAATTTCTAAAATCTCCACACGATCCCTTCTGATAAAAAATAGATAGTTAGGAGTTCGATACTTGAACACTTAACCGACTGTAAGCATTCTACGGATCCACAGTTTGATTTTAAGGTTGTTTGTATGATTCGTTCAAATCTATCGAGATTTCTTCGTATCCAACTCTTGAAAATAGCCAAAGCTCTTACCATCCAGGAGCTTAAACCAAAAATATATTTGTTTAACATGTACAAACTATCTGGAGCCATTCTAGGGTTACCACCAGTCCCGAGTCCATATAAAGAAGGAAGGTTAAGCATGGGGTTTGAAAACCCGTCCCGTAGAAACACAACTTCGCTGAAAAGACGCTCACCAGGAAAAAAATCATTTGAATCGTACGAACTTTGTTTTGAGAGTTGGAGGGTGTTCATTCAGAAACGTTATGACGCCTCATGTTGAAAGCCGGGATTCCTCAAAGATCATGAAACTGATGTCTCTATTGACAACCACAGCAACAATCAACATAAGTACGTGGAATGCCCGCACAATATGGGAGACCGACAGGACCAACAGGGTATTTGCGAAAACGAAAAAATATAACCTGGCAGTGCTCGTGATAAGTGAAACCCACTAGACATCAGCTGGACAGAAAAGATTAGGTTCGGGAGAATTACTGTTGTACTGATGAAGAAAATGCTTCTCACACACAAGGAGTTGCACCAATCTTGTTCAACGAAGCAAGAGAAGCACTTATATGATGGGGGTCTCATGGATCCAGAATCACCAAAGCATTCTTTAAGGCGAGGGAGTGGGGGATTACAACGGATGTTATCCAGTGCTATGCGCTCACTAATGATAGCAACGAAGACAATGAAGATCCATCTTATGAGAGGCTGCGGCCAGTCGTACGGAGGTGCCCAGGAAAGGACCTGACGATCTTAATGAGAGACGTAGATGTTAAGGTCGGAATGGAAAACACCAGGTATGAAAATATTATGGGCAGATAAGGAACGGGAATGGTGAGAGACTTACAAATCTGTATGCCCTGAAAAAATGGTTGTAAGCGACACAATATTCACCCACAAACGCATACACAAAGTTATATGGGTCTAACCTTATCACGATACAGAGAACTAAATCGATCACAACTGCATCAATAAAAGGTTCGAAAGGTCAATGGAAGACATGGAGAAAAAAGAGGGTAGCTGACATAGCTCTAGATCACGATTTGGTGGTGACCAAGATGACTGTGAAAAAGCATTTGATAGCGCTGATAGGAGAACCATATGGAACCTTCTTTGATACCAAGGTATACCTGAGAAGACTATCACCACTATACAGAAGTTTATACGGTGTACTACACCGCAATATAATTGTTGGAGGGTAGCTCACAGATATGGATCATGAAATAAAACCCAGTACAATATGTGTTGAATAACAACTACTCACAAAGGTGATCTATTTACGCCTTGTACCCATTTATTTAATGCGATTTCTTCACCCAGACATATCCTAGAAATAATAGCGTCAATTATCTAATGAAAGGATTGTACATATTTTATACCACCTTCACATAAAGAATAAGTCGAGACTGGAAGTGACAAAGTGGTAGATTAGTAAAATGTAGTAGACGTGGAACAATTTTAACAAACATCCATGGGATCGTTTATTCTATTTGGGTGAACTGAAAAGGCCATGAATGCAAGATCTTTCAGGTAATGGAGAAGTTATTGTCATAACTTGTGTAGTTCCAAGTACTTAGGAGACTGACTGTCAGAATAAAATGAGCAGAGCCCATATAGGGAGCTAGGAAAAAATAAATCTATTGAGCTGAGAAAATATGACATTTTGTAACCAAATCTTAAAAACTAAAGTCACCAAGGCAATACAAAATCGATGGAACTTCAATTCATTTTTGTATTTCTTGTTTGAATCTTCCAATTGATGTTTAGGAATCCGATTGACCAGACTTTTATTGGCATGTGTGCACTCTGCACGGATTGCATCGACATCTCCATTAGGTAACAAGCGTTAAAAGTAGGGCTGGATGATGTCTAGCAGTGAAATACAGGACGCGTGTCTCGTCCTATTTGGGACTCGTCAGTCGGATGTACCTGCATTCCAGAGTTGATGTTCACTCCGGTACTCAAACCCAGTAACAGTCGCTTAAAACGCCATCGCGTTGTCCCTTTTATCTCATTGCACGAGCTAGTGGCTGTCTGGACTCAGTAGCTAAGTATATAACGCAATGGCGTTCGGAACGAACTTTGCTGGGTTCGAATACCGGAGTGAACATCGACATTGGGATGTAGGTACATCCGACTGACGAGTCCCAAATAGAACGAGATGTGTGTCGAGGATTCCACTGATAGCCACCATCCATCTTTGTTTATGATGATAGGACTTTAAACTATAAACAGAAGTCTAACTTAAATTTTCATATGCTAAAATAAACGAATATAAAAGAAACTGGAAATTAGCCGTAAAAGTTAGTTCGTTCATGCAAAACAAACAAAATATTTAACAAATTTTAGTTTATATTATACGTGGCTAAGAATTCAGGAAGCATATTTCATTTTATTGAGGGAATAATCAGGTGGACATCCCTGTATTTTATTATTGATGTTTCAAAGACTCGAAATCAGTACCTTTTCCTACAAACACCTGACAAGTCTAAACATGACAAAACAGCTTCCTGAGCACACACAACAAAAATTAATTCAAAACGTAATTGATTACTGTCGATATGTTTTGTAGTTCATTCACCAGTCAATAAAACGCAGATATGATCGTTATGTTTGACTCTTAATCTTCATATCACTTTCGAGTTCAGTCACTTCTCTAACTGCATAACATCTAATTATGAATTTCGAAAACTAAAATGGTGATTTTCAACCATACTACTGATTTAGATAAAAAGTAGTATTCTTGCTTTGTTAGTTTTTATAAATTCCTTTTATTTTTGTCGAATTTTCAGATCCCAGTTCGAAGTCTTCGTTGAATCATCATAGTTTATTTATTTCTCCAGTACATCAAAATCTAATGGAAGCGCGCTTGAAACGTCTAAAATTAGAAGAGAAAATGCTAATGCAAGCAGAGAAACTAGATATGTTGGAAAGAATACGAAAACCACTACCTAGATGGTAAATAATTATTTTATTGACAATTAATGTTCAGTAGTTAACTGGCTAACTAGATCCATACAGCAAGCTAGAGTGTTTTACGAACCACTATAAAACCAACTTCGAACTTTCATTTACCCACCCTAAATGAAAATAATGTTAGAAACCAAGGCAAATACAATGAAAGCATCAACCGTGGATTCGTTTTTTCGACTGAGTCATTTGTTGAACCAGAATGAATTTGAGAGTTCTTGGTATACGTTTCACTGGAATAGGCGATTGTTTATGCAAGTACTCGATCATTTACTGTCACTTTAAGCCTTCCACATATTTTTTTGGGAACGACCACTCGTCTTAAAATTTAAACGTTTATCACTGAATGTCATTTTATTTTCTCTGATTTACTGTCTAAAGAAACTGTTGTTATTTTGACGTTTATATCCGCAACTTTTTATCTGGCTGATTTGTCTTGCAGAACACAACGTTACTATCAACCATAATTCGCTCATTACTGGGCTTTCAACAATTTATTAGAGTAGTAATTTCATTCACATTGTCCGGAGAGTTAAGAATATTTTGCATCGAACCTCAAAAATGAGACTACTGAAAATTCTATGGGCAAGTTACATAATCATTTAAGGACCACCGATTAAAACGATTAAATACTGTTGTTCAGCTAAGACACTGAGTTGTTAACATCCAATCGTTAACAAGTTCACATCTAACCTTCAGGTACATCGCTACGAGAAGAGAGTACATATAAATTTACTTGGTTATATGGTCATGACAGACCAGTTAGGCGGCACAAAAATTAAAAAAACATTAAATCAAGCGAACAGGAAGGCGGTTATTGGGTTGCTATGTTTGAAGCGATTATAAGTTCACCTAGTCTGCGAACGGAACAAAAACTCTGGGACCAAAGACCGATAAGCTAGCTTTTCTGATGCCTCCCAGCCCCGCTAACTAGAGAGAGATATAACATCCCCAACATGGGTGAATACAGAAACACACGAAAATAAGTTTAAACCATATCAATTAATAATGTTAAACGGTAAATCAGAATTGAAAATGTTACCTGTCTAATGATTTTTATGTCTTACTCCACAAAATTTCCGTACATTTTTTCGTCACCCAATCAATCAGCCATTTCGTTAGCTAAAATGTTACAAGGTTTTGCAAATCCGAACACGTATAAGAACAAGATGTTTTGAAAGATAAAAAAGACAGATCAAATAAAATAAGAAAGTCGCTGTTATTAGACTGTTATCCTTACAATAATACTTAATAAAATAGGCTATGACTGATAATTGAGACATTGGTTAAGTAAGTGGTTTTTTATTCATTAAAAGAGCATTAAAAAATGGAGATTATATCAATCATAAATTAGATAATTCATTATAACTCCTGTTAGCTATTTTTAAATTCAACTCAGGACCTGATACGTATGTTCATTGATCCAAATTGTTGACAACAGGCTTAACACCTGACTTGATTGATATTGATTTTATAATCAAATCCTCAGCCATTATCATATTAATGTAGGCAGGACCATGATGGTAAACTAATAGGGAATAAAGATTTCGCTGATCAAATACAGATTTTTTAATGTTGAAATAGTAATATATATAATTGATATTTTAACTTGATGACCTCTTTTGTAAATATTTGTGTCGTCTTTTTCTTAAGGTACACAATTAAAACTCCACAATTTTTCTATGAAGCTCGTAAGCATAACGAATTATTGAAAAGTCATCAGTACTCAAATTATTTATATTAAAATTAATCTAACTTTGTATGGTAGTATCATGTTTTTGTACTTAGTAAATATATTTGATTTGTGTGAAATACTTGGTAATTGTTTAGAAATGATTATTTTCTATTTTATGGTAAACAGTTTAGTTTTACAATGGGACGATACCAGACCTTCATAGAGTTTTAATAGGAAGCCAAGATTTTTAAAATGGGATGCAAAAGTTAGTGCCAACCAGTGACAGTAGTATGAGGAACCAATGGAAGGATAGGTTATGTTCAGGACCTCACTGGAGTTAAATATTCTGACCAGTGAATTTGAACGAACAAACATGAAGGCTGCTAACTAGTTGTTTGTAGAATCTGAAAGAAGAAACGTCATAACGAGTCGGTTCACATAAAAACTGTAGGAGGATAACGCGAAAAATTCGTGGAGTGTAATGAGAGTAAATGTTTGTTCCTCTTTTTTTCGAAACTTTGAAATCAAAATCTGATAAGGAGTAAAAAAAACCTTGAAATATATGTTCACTGTACAAAACATTTAAAGCAGAAATGTACAGGCGTGGTTGACATTACCGTCTGCTAATACAGTTGAGCTGAAACTAGGTTATACATATATTCGTCAGTCTAATCTCAATAAGTTACTTTAAATCAATAGGTAATTGGTAGAGATAATAATTACTTTAAGTTATTCTCATATATCTGGAGATGATAATTTTTCAAATTATTTTCATACATCTGGATAATCATTAAAGACCAGAGACAACTGAAGAATTGATTCGTCGTGGTTTTAAGCAACTCACAAGTAACTAACTCTCTGATTACAAAGAAAGGAACTAATTATGACTGAAGTTTCATCTCAAACACAACACAATTGACATTTGCAGGTTGTGTTCGATTCGGCAAACAGCCTGACTATCACCTATCAGTTTCATTAAGAACCTATACTTAATTCCAATTTAAATTATTCCAGGAATATATTCTTAAGTACCCCAATGTAATAATCTTCCCTGAATAGTATCCTTTACCCCTACGCTTCACTTGACACAAATGAGCTGAAAAAAACGAATACACCTTTTGTAGAATTTAGATTAGAGACTTCCGGATCCGTTGTCCAGAGCTGATTGGTTTAAAACGAACCAAACAGATTTAGGCTTGCACTGAGCACATCTGGATTTTATCCTGTTAACGAGAATACAGCAGGAACATAACACGACAACTATAATTAAGTCATTCAGCAAATTTTTAGCCAAATCTAGAAGCAAAACCATTAATATCTATCTCTAATCTAAGTGTTCAAACACCTAGAATAGAACTAACTAGGCTTGTTCTTACAAACTTTCAAAATAACGGTGTTATTGATAACAAAATACGTATTTCATGAGTTCTGTAACCAAGGTAATTCTGAAACTGAAGTTTTTATTGTCTTTCCTCTTAAGATTTCTGTCTGCGGTTCAAAAGTTGCATATTAGCGACAGTCTGAAAACTGGTTACAAACTCAGTACAAATAATTAATATTACTAATAAGGACACTTTGAAAATTAAAAAAAATAACGAGCAACATGAAGAATGAATTTCAACTATTACTAAAAACTGATCGATTCATTTAAGTCGAATTTATAAACTTTAGAAGATAATTTTTCAGATGAAAAACAAATAAGTTGCATAATGCTATACTGTTTAAGCTTGATAATTCTCATTCATTTTCACATAACTCTGAACACTAAATATATTTAAAAGTAAAGTGGAGAATTTGTGGAGCTTGTCTGAGTGGAATTTGGTTTTCATAGCAAACTGATATCAGCTATAGATCTATTGAAAACGACGGAGCATTGAATTGCTATTTTGGACTAAACATCAATTAGCATCCACGACACCTTAGTAGGATTGAACCAAGGAATTTGAGATTTACCAATAAGAAGAGTAATTTTGGATTCTGATTTAATGGTTTAAAGATTTGCCGCTTGTAGCAAGGTCAAAAACTCATGCATTAAATCCAGTTTGAAGGGGTAGTGATTAAATACTTGAAATGTTCTAAACCTGGAAGAAATAGCTGTTTAATATCTAACAGTTCCCAATCAGTGTTACATCTCCCCCAGTACCAGTCAGTAATATAAAACCTAGAGGCTGACACATTCGCATAGGTTCAAGTTGTCACATCACATTAGCACTTATTTACTTACAGCTGTTACTCCTCATAGGAGAATAGGTCGCCGACTAAAATTCTTCAACCTAAAACAGAAAGGTAGAATAGTCAAAACGAATCCCATAGCACTTAAAGTAGTAACGATACTGTTAGTAGCAGAAAAGACTAGGTGTAGAAAAAAAGAAACCTAAAGAATGGGTAAAGACAAACAGCGAACGCATCTCCGCCATTTTCGATGATTTTGAGCAAATTTTGGAAACTTCAAATATTTTTAGATGTGAATTATTCTTAGCTATATTGCCTAAATTTGAATTACAACTTGATTATATGTTCCATTCTGAGAAACAAATGAAATAAACAAAGATATTAGTAAACTGAATTTGAGACAAACCAGTTCAAATTGATCTGAAACTTCAAACTACATAAAATTTGAAGATCAGCATTGAATGCAGTCAAGTTTACGAATGTGAAACATTTCCATTTTAAGAAAATACAACCTAAATTACATGAAAATAAAGAAAAAATTCATTGATAGTAATATATTTTGTTTATCAAACTTTGTAAAAAAATCAATAACTAGACCTACCTGTAGAAAACAAACAGTGGTTGAAGACGATATACGCTATTTTCACTTTTCAATAATAATAATCAATTAAAATATATAAATAAATAGTGGGTGGCCTTTGGTAAATAGGTTTCATCGCCATCGATTACTTAACTAAGTGTACGCCAATAATATGATATCGATCCATCTGAATATATATATATATATATATATATATATATATATATATATATATATATATATATACTTATTTTTACAGGATGATAATAGCACTTGTTATACATGGTGACAGTGAGGTTAAATAAACAAAGGTATTAAAGAATTTTTTTCTATTTTTAAAACAAGGAAAGTTTAATAATCGTTTGATTGTTAAAGTATTCATCAAAAGATAGATAGGGAAATTATCATTGGGAAAGGTTGGTTCAGCATGATAAGATAAAATATTGAAATTGAAATGTAATCGGTATGATCACGAAAATGAAAACAAACCAGTTGGGGGTAGAAGATTTAAGGGGAAAGTGGAAGGTGAAGCAGATGGCTGTAAAGGAACAAGAGAAAATTTTTGATACATTAAGACCATGGTAGAAGATGTTGCACCAGTCTCTTTTGCACGCACAATTCTGGTTTTTCCAGATGTATGGTTATTGCTTCGTCAATTATTATAATATTATTATTTGAACACATAAATATTGGTACAGGGGGGCACCAAATATATATGCGCCACACAAAACAATGATAATTTGAAGAGAAGGAGAAAAAAAAGGTAATGAACGTGGGGAATTATAAAAAAAAGAGAGAAAGAGAACAATGATGGGGAAAACGGAAAGGTACAATCAGAAGAAATCTTTCAGTTAAGGAAGATACAATCATTTTTTATGAAAAAAATTAAAGAAGGTTACAACAGGATCGCCATTGGCTTCTATTCTGAGCCATATCTGATAACGTCTCTAGCCACTGTGTTACACCATCTATCGGACCCCAATCAGAGAGTCGAGAAGGACCAACAGAAGATAGCCCTTTGCAGCTTTCTTTCATACCACGACACCATGTCATATACTGACCACCTCTCCGCTTTTTCCAACCAGTCCCAGAGTCGGCAAATAATGCACGACGAGGAATTCTCTGGGACAACATTCGTAGAACATGTCCAAGCCACCGAAGTCGGTGTTTCAAGATGGTGACACCAATTGGATTGTCGTCTCTGTGCCAGAACACACGATGTCGAACCTCTGCATTACTAACATGGTGTTGCCACTGGGTGTCAGCAATCCTTCGGAGACAGCGATGATCGAACACAGAGAGACGTCTAACATCCTCAACTCGGAGAGGCCAGGTCTCACAAGCATAGAGCAAAACTGCTCTCACTGACGCGTTGTAGATCCGACCTTTTACAGCCAGACTAACATCACGAAGGCTCCAAAGATGGCTCAGATTGGCATAAA